AAAATATTGTAATATTTGAGGGGTGGTTTCACCCTCTTGGAACTGGAATTTCGAAAAATCCCTTCATATCGAACCTCTACACCCTAGAATGAACCTCTATGCCAAAATTGGAGGATTCACTTAAGGATTTTATATATTAGTATAGATATGACATTTTATTTTATATATTAGTATAGATATGACTTTTTTATATAACTCAATATGTACAGTGTGAGTCTTAAATAAGGGCAAATATTTTTAGGGGTAGTATATTTCGACCCCAGAAAAAATTTGTAATTTTCTGAAAAAAAAATTTGGATTTTTTTTTAATTCTTAGTTAACAAATATAATATCTTCATAATATGGCAACATAGGTAGTAGATTAAATTTACAAGAAAAAAAACCAAGAAAACTGGTTCTCTAAATTTAAGCAAAAAAACATTTTTTTTTTAAATTTTCGAAGCAAAATATTTCGGTTATTTTGGACTTAATTGAAAAACGGTAAAAAGAAAATATTTTTCTTTTATCGAGATCTATCATCTGAAAATATTTGCACTTATTTAAGACTCAACCTGTATAACTCAATTTTTTCAAATAAAACGCGGGTGGCTTATTAGTATATTTGGAATAAGCATTTTTTGCGAATAATTTGGTACCATATACTTGGTATTTAGAGTCAAATTGTTGTTATGCACACAGCCATGGCACTCCGGATAGAAATTTAAAATAGTGCTTTTTTAGCAGAAATGTCAAAAGATGGCATATTACGAGATATCATTATATTCAGAACTCAATTTCCATCGAATAAAGTAAGAAATATTAGGATACCATTTAAAAACTAAAAGTTATTTCCGGTAAAACAAGAAATAACCGATAATAATAGAATACGTCAATCAATCCTAATTTATATTATGTACTAGCACACAAAATCCCTCTTTTTTTGCCTGAAAAAAAAATAGCTATAGGTTAGCCATGTTTTAATGGGCACCTACCCCAGTATCCTTCAGGCATAAATTTACGCTATCGAAAGATGCATACAATTTATCTTAGATAGTAACTATCGATAACAGGAAATTGCCATCCTATCCGATATCCAAACAGCACTAAACGCGATCAACTCAGTCACCATCAATTCGAAGTTGGTCAAAGAATGCCTAGAGAAGCTCAACAAATTAGGCAAAGGAAATACAGTCCTCCTACTCTGGGGTGCCTGCTCAACAAGGGATAGAATGCAATGAGAAAGCAAATGATCTAGCTAGAAAAGGAGCGAACACTCCACTAATTGGACCAGAACCGTTCTGTTTTCCAAACGGGAACCAACTGAAAGTGGAACTGAAGAAACTGGAAGACTCCATCCGTAACTTGGAATGGGTGACCTCCAACGGTCTAAGACAAAGAAAATCAAAGGTGTTTCTTGATTTAAGTAAAAACAATCTTCGGATTGTCAGGGGGTTTCTAACAGGACACTGTCTCCTCAACCAACACCTCAGTAGGCTGAAGCTGAGAAACAACGGCAAATGCAGATTCTGTGGGGAAAATGGGGAAACACCAGAATACGTTATCACTGAGTGCACCGAGACGACGACCATTCGTGCAATGAACTTTGGTACGGCTGATGTCGAGGATGGAGAGCTGGCCTCTGTGGAGCCGTCTCAGATACTATTTGGAAAAAATAACTTTTGTTGATGATTAGTTAAATACTATTTTTTTACAATTTATTATTTTTTTCAAATAAATGACAAGGGGCCGGTCTAACAGGAATTGTCATTGTTTATAATTTTAAACGAGCCAGGAAGACATTCGACATTCGACAGACATAGAAAAAATGACAGAAAATACAATTTGCCTGTGAATGAGAATGACAGAATTGTCTTGTACCTTCTCGTTGGACAGGCTATGTAACAACTGTAGACTAGCCTTATTGAACTTTTTTACAAATATAGTTCGCTTTTTATATGATCTGGGTTTCGAATTTGGTAGTTAAAAGATTATAATGATATATTTTTAATATTAATATTTTTTCTTTCATCTATACCATTTGTGATGTATATCTCATCTGAACCGCTATATGGATTTATATCTGAAAAAAGAAAATTTGTTTTTTAATCCACTCCCTTTTATATTCCCGAAAAATAACTTTTTAAAAATAACTGATATTTTTGAACTGAAAATTGTATTGATTTATATTTTTTGTCTCAATAATACCTACAATTCTTCTTGAAATCAAGTTTTAAAGTTTCTCAAAACTATTATATTAATTAGAATTGCTTTACTGAATGCTTCAGACTGCAGAATAAAAGTTTTTGCAGTTCTGTCGACATGCACGGTAGGTTGATCACAGTAAGTTGGAATAGTTTTAGGGCTTGATAAGTTGAGAAGCACTATGGGTCGTCAACGATTTCAAACACAAAGGGATGGATCCTTTTAGCCGATTACAGACAGAATTAACGGAATGTCTGTTATCTTTCCAAAAAACTATAGGGAAGTTTCATTAAATACCGTTGGAGTGACTGTATATATTTAATTATGATAAGGTACACTAGTAGGTATTTTCACAATATAAGAAGAATGTATAATATGATTTATCTTTAAAATATTTGAGATTTCTTAACTCATCAAAGGCCGAGTTGAATTTAAATTTTCGGGAATTTTAGAAAAACGTTATAGTACAGATCTTTAGACTGATTAGTATCCTTCGAAAGATTGGACTAGTAACGTTTTTAACCATAAGCTAATTTTCTAAGTTCCCGAAATTTTAAACTTTGACGGTACTCAGTTCAATAAAATATCACAACACAATTCATTTAAACCAAAAACTTGTAATACAAAACTAAAGTGTCAAAACGAATGGCAATGTCAGGAAATAAATAATTAAATGTGGCAACTTGACATTTTTTACAGCAGAGCTGCCACCTGAATCCCTCACGGGAAATTTAAATTCCAGTAGTCACCCCGGCGACGAATATGTTGCCATGGTTGGCAACAACGAATTTAAAAATAGCGCCCTCGATTATGTAACTAAAAGTTTAATTGATATCAAATATATAAAGAAAGCCTAATAGAAACTTTTGCTTAGAACTAAAATATTATGGTTTTTGCCTTAACTCTATTGATATTTAATTTAGAAATTAGGAGGTGGCTTTGGCTTTGCAATAACATATTTAGATATGATAATAATGGAAAATTTGTTTTAAAGTAACGCAGATAATCATAAAATTCAATATTTCATTAACTTCTGTTATTTGTTATACAATATGATCGAAAAAAAAACGACTGTCAATAATAAAACAACTATAAGTTTAAAATCAGTAAAAATCAATTTAGTGTGCATACAACTATAACTTGTTAAATTGCTTGCAGAAAGCTAAAGATAATGGTTATTATTTCTTTATGTAATTATTTTTTATTAATTTATTTTTTTTTCAGCTTAAAGCCGGTTTTAGCGACCATGTCGGGAAAATTCTTTTCAACGAGCTAATCGCGGTTCAACACAGTGCGAATCACAGAACAGGAAGAAAGAATTGTGGACTTCTGCATGGTAGAGATGATTCTTTCCGGGTTGTGAAGTTGGAGTTTCTTAAGGCTTTGAACAAAAAGGTTTACGTCTACTAGGCCGTTACAGGTAAGTATTATTGGCAATATAAAAGTCTTGCTCAAATCGTATATGGCTTTTAGTTCTTGTGCCAGTGCTTCATATTTTGTGATTTTCTCTTTTCTTGCATTTTTAATATTTTCGTCTAGTGGTATTGTGATATCCAGCAGGTAAGCATGTTTTTTTTATAGAAGACTACTATATCAGGTCTATTATGATGATGTCAGAATCCCAGTATACTTACGTTTTCGTTTTCTACTATTTTGTCAGGTAAGTATCGGTAGTACGGTGTAATTTCATTTAAAATATTTTCTTTTTTGCAGATTTCTTGGTGTAGAATACCAGCCACCCGGTTGAGCCTGTCCAGATAATGCCGCGGTGCAAGATAGGTACATCCAGAGCAGATGTGTTAATTGTTTTTGGAAAAGTATTGCATAGTCGACATCTGTCATTAGGTAAGTCCTTTTTGGCTATATTTTTTAGGAAATTTATCGTTAGTATTTGCTGGTCTTGTATAGCTATAATAAACGATAGATTTCGGTCAACGTCGGGGTTATATAAGTTGGATGGATATCTTCCGTGCAAGGCTTTCCCTTTCCACTATTTAGGTTAGTTCCTCAACATCCTTAGTACCTGCAGGTAATCTTTGACCTGCTAAGTTTAAAGGTGTGAAATTCCTGACGGCGGCCTTAATAGCTGAAAGGAGAGGGTCATTTGATTGATCAAAGTAGTCATGCAGACTTCTGTGCTTATTGTGTGCTTATTTATGTTATTATGTGCTTACTTATGTTATTATGATTTTATTATTTATGTTATTTATTTCTTTATCTAATTTCTTCACTGTAATTATTTCCTATATCAATAAAATATACCGAAAAAAAACGGCGTCAGGCTATGAAATGAAAATCGCTGCCATTTTATATGTAAAATTATATGGGGAATGTCATCGATGTTCATTTCCAAGCCAACTGGACGCCGTTTTTTTCTATCATAGGATATCTTAGCTACACAAAATTAATGTTTCAAATGGCCAGTGTTAATGGATGTTATCAATAATAATCAATTAAAAATCAATTTAGTGTGCATTCCACTATAACATTTTAAAGTGCTTGCAGAAAGCTAAAGATAATGGTAATTATTTCTTTAGATATGATGCAATAGTTTTGTATATTTTTGATGTGCACAGTAATTACATATATTTTAAAATATGTACTATTAATGCTTTTTTGATCATTAATTAAATTAAAAAATATTCCAAAATATAACTACAACTTTTGAATTTTCGAAATTTTTGAAAATAAATATGAATTTTTGAAACTAGAAAACTATACAGGTTTTAAAATATAAACTTTTAAATGAATATTGCGCTTAATATTTATATTAAACATGTGTTTAAAATATTTCAATGCTCATAATTTTCAATATTTACCTTGGTATATCTCCAATTTTTGGAGGTCTTGGTTTTCGACAAGTGCATCCGTCTTGCCATAAATTTGCTGAAACAAAAACAATCATCAAAAAATAATGCAAAAGATAGGTAATTGAAAAAATTATATAAAAACATATTTTTAAAATTTCCTAATCGAATTAGGTTTATAAAAATATATAAACAACCAAGCGTATCCTACACAGCTCTTTTAAAAGGACTGACATTTCATCAGAAAGGAAATAACGATGTTTTAAATCAAAATACCCATTTGTTCCTTTTAATTTGTATACAATCTTCTCAGTCTATTAATATACTTCACAAAGGTTTTTTCGTTATTAACAACGAAAAAGATATTTTTAGTATTTTGATCCTTAATTAAAACTCCATTAATTATTTCTGTTCATTAAGATTTGTAAATATAACTCATCCTTTTTTCTTTCTAATTAGTATTTAAAAAATACATTTTACTGAATCTGTAGAGTTAATAGCGTGTATTGAGAAATAAGAGGACGCGCATCCTAATGGGCGATTTCGTGGCACGAAACCTGTTCGACATGTACAGTTTGACAAATATAGGAAGAGACTTGGGGATAGCACCGGTCGCGCACACGATAGAGAGAGTACGCATTCGGCGAAAGAGCGATGCAATTACGCTACAACAAATCTGATTAAAGCAAATTTGCGGGCTGTCCACTGCGCATCGAGGGGCGTCTCTTATTTTATATTTCTCACGTCTCTAGCTATACTTGTTAAGTTGTAACTGGCGTTACCCGTCAGCCTGTTCGAGATTTAGTTTAGCTCTGCGCCGCTGCGCGCTGATAGTCGTTTACACCGCAGCGGATAAAGCATACTGTACCGTAGTTCTGCTTTCAGTCGACAGAAGACAGAATGAGTGGTTTCCGGAGATAATGTTGCCAGAACTACTGATTAATCCGTAGATTTGCGGATTTTGATTACAGTACGTTAATAATACGGATTTTCTATCATTAAACAATTTAATATAATATTATTTAATTAAAGTACGGGCGTCAGAGTTGGCTTGAAAATGGAGATCGCTGTTATTCATATGAAAAATATTATGGTAAATGTTATTTCCAAGCCAACTAAACGACTTTTTTCGATCATACGACATAGTATTTATTCACTATTTATAAAAGAATTTTTATATTTGTTGTTTATTCTATGTTTGACACGAATAAATTTTCAATGCATAAACGGGGATTTTTCATCCAAAAATATTTTCGTCCAACGTATTACAGATCTTCAAAAACGCCTATATCGTCCGCTTTATGACGAAAAGGCGTATTTCGATTTTTGCTACTTTTCAGGAGAGCAATTTAAAGAAAATCACTTACTTTATTTGGCCAATAAATGTAAAGTCTCTAATTTTTTAATAGAGTATTAACACTTAAACGGAGACATTGAGGAAACGTTCTAAAGATAAATTGTGCGTAAACTCTAATAAATAATTTCTTTTTAGTTGTTTAATAGAGATAGGCCTTTTTGTTATAATAATAATAAATTTATTTCCGAACGAATAGTACACATACGCCCATGTAAAATAAATTTAAAAATGATGGTAAAGTGTTCTTAATAAGGAAAAAAAAATCAATATTCACATTATGGAATACATACAAGAAAATGCAATACATGCATATACAGAAAAAATCTGAAAATCACCAAAAATTCAGAAACAAATATTTTAAATACTTTTATTCGCGTTGGATTAGATCAACTGATAACAAAGACAATTTTCATTCCAGAAGCAAAGACAATAATCAATTAAAATACACTTATTTAGCTTATTTTAATAATATTGTTTTTTATACAAAAATTAATTTTTTTAACTAATATATTTTTAGTCATTATTCAGCTAACTGAGGATATTAATACAATGCATTTAAACTCACGGTCCATTTAATAAAATCCAAACTAAACAAAAACAAAATATGTTTCTTCATTCGTGCCTTTTTGATACAAATAACTGTGGACTAACAGTTTCTGTTTTCCCTGTTCAATGATAACAAATTTGACTTCCATTCTACGTGTTTATGCAGGATGATGATAGGCGCAATAAATAAAATTTTCCAAAAATTGACAGGGATGACAATGCCAATGGCCTGAAAATGATAATGAGATAAAAATTATTGTATTTTTCGGGCAAGTTTTTGGTCCGCTAAAATGTTCTTAGGGAAATTATAATTTCGGGAATTTTTTTTTCCATTAGGACAATTTTCGTTTCGTTGTTTTGCTTTCGATCAATTTTTCTTTGGCCATTTAGTCTCGGACAATCTTTTGCATACCCGATACAGCTATGTGCAGAGTCTAGCTCATTCTAACAATGGTTTTTGGCAAAAAACAGACTCAAAATCACACTGTAAAAGAGCTGTTGCCATGATAGAAGTTTTATTTTGCAACCATCAGAAAATAATTAGGTAGCATTTTCATAACTTAAAACAAAAGGACCTATCTCAAATTCCATATTTCTTGTAATATAACAATTGGTATAACAAATGATATAACAAAGAGCCCTATTTCAACATACTGTTCTACATCTCTTCGTCATAACGAAGAATTGTAGTATTTGAGATGGGACAAATTTTTAAACGAATATAAAATGAAAAAGGTACAATATTGAGATGCGCAAATTCGCTATGTTAAAATATGACCCATTGGGCATGTCATGACGTTTATGTCTCAAAATCGCCAAAAATCGAGATACGCCTTTTCGTCATAAAGCCGACGATATGGGTATTTCGCCACTGCAAGAAAAACTACAAAATAAATTAGTTATTTTTTGTAAACACTGCGGCGTTAATCCAACGGAGACTACTTGTCAGCAGGTAGGTTTACTGATAAATAAATTTGCCTAACGAACAAAAAAATGCTTAACGTTTCGGAAAGTTTATCTCTTTCCGTCGTCGGAAGCAAAAAAAAAATACAAAGAATAAAGAAAAAAACTATTTAAAATATTTAAATGCAACTATTCGAAAACACTTTAGTTTTAACATAATATAATACCGTATGATCGAAAAAAATGGCGTTCAGTTGGCTTGGAAATGACGATCGATGACATTTCCCATATAATTTTACATATAAAATGACAGCGATCTTCATTTCTTAGCCATCGCTGACGCCGTTTTTATTCGATCATACGGTATTATATATAAATATTATATTTAGTAAAATAATAGTTGTAGTTATATTAATATTATATTTAGTTTAGCTCTGCGCCGCTGAGCGCTAATAGTCGTTTAGTAGTGTTTTATTTTGCGACAGAATGAGTGGTTTCCGGAGACAGTGTTGCCAGAACTACTGATTAATAGGTAGATTTGCGGGTTTTGGTTACAGTACGTTAATAATACGGATTTTCTATCAATTTTCTATCTTTTTTTCAAACCTAACTGCTGACAAGTAGTCTCCGTTGGATTAAAGCAGCAGTGTTTACAAAAAATAACTATTTTATTTTGTAGATTTTCTTGCAGTGGCGAAATACCCATATAGGATTTTTTGGAAAGATGAATCCGCCACATAGGTATATACATTTTTTACGTATTACAGATATTACACATTTTAATATGGCAACACTGTCGCTTTCAGTTCCACACCGTCTTCGATATGCTTTTGCTGGCCGAATTAGAGAAAATAAGTGTTTTATCAGTCGGTCACAGAACGATTGGTGTCTTCACCGTACAACACTTGAGACGTAAGGGGAAATCAAATCAGCCTTGTCACGAATTCGCTCATTAGGTTGCGTGTTGCGTATCTTCCCAATTCTTTTAATCAACGTTAATAGTATTTTATCCATTTGTTTCTAACGAAGATAGTAACATTTTTTGATAACTGCACTCAGATGCAAAAAAAACGCAACTGAGAAATTTTTGGTCAAATTTAAAATGTTATATTTTTGTTATTTTTAACCCTATTTTCATTAATTTTTTAGCAAGCTGTATATAATTACATCAACTTTAATTCGTAAACTCAATTTTTTATAAACTTTAGTATTTGACGTATTATACAGGGTTAATCGAGGGGTTGTTTTTTACTCTAACTTTAAAACACCCTGTGCAATAATTTCGTGTGCAAATTTTCCTAGAATATAATTTTACGGTCAGAACCACGTCTCCTGAGCATTTTGTTTTTTGAATCATGTCAATACATGCCTTGGTTAATTTTTAAGTGCGAAATAAACTCCCCATCAACAATTTGCAATTTTTTCAATTGTCATTTCTTTTTGAAATTGTTTTTAAGATAACAAGGTGGCTTTGGAGATTATTGTGAACTATAAATCACTATGAACTGTTGATCATGTTCTACGTTTGGGAAATGCTTGGCAGGAGGGTTAAAGGTCGCGAAGAGCTACCAGCTTCATTAAATTCTCAATTTCTTCGATTTGTCCTTAAAGAAGAATGATAAAACATATCGCAATATGATAGATGCAGCCTCAATGACAGTATGAACGGACGTATACAGGCTACTGTATCTTTAGTATTATACCTTTATTTTTAATTTAGTGTACAGTATCCAATACAGCGTAATATGACGTTATGACAAAAGTCACCAAAACCATCTGTCATATTAAAAAATTACATAAAAAATAATGATAATTGAAAAAATTGTAAATTGATCGTAAACAGTTCATTTCGCTCTTAAAAATTAACCAAAGCCTTGACATAAATAAAAAAATAAAATGCTCAGGAGTCCTGGTTCTGACCGTAAAATTATATTTTAGGAAAATTTATACACGAAATTATTGCACAAGGTGTTTTAAAATTAGGGTAAAAAAACAACCCCTCGATTAACCCTGTATAATATGCCAAATAATAAAGTTTATAAAAAACTTAGTTTACGAATTAAAGTTGATATAATTATGTACAGCACGCTAAAAAATTAATGAAAATAGGACTCAAAGTAACAGAAATATAACACTTTAAAATTGACCAAAAATTTCTCCGTTGCGTTTTTTTTGCATCTGAGACAAAGATACTTTAGTAGGTAATGGTTTGTCAAACCCAAGTAGGTACCTAGATTAGATTTATTCTTATAAGAAAGTACGATTTTTCGAAA